AAAAACGAAGAAGCCAGACAAAGTAGACAAGCGGCACACAGCCTTTCCACCATAAGTAACCGGTACGACGCAAGGAATACCTGCTGGTGCTGCAAAAGGCGTGGGCACCAGCGTTACCATTGTCACTACCCACGGCGACTGTTCTGTTCCCGTTGCGGTCAAGACGGAACTTTCTCCAGAAACTGCCCATGCCCCAAATCAATCAATACCGCGCCACCCATCGCCCAAGCCACTACAGTGCAATCCGAATGGAGAAGTATCGACGGTCGCTTCTACGCCGACGTCACCATCTAGGGCCTACACGTACGAGCACTGGTGGACACCGGAGCCACTCTAACATACGTAGACGACAGCACGCGCGTGCATTTAGAGCGACTCAACATCCGACCTCAGCCTAATAAGCGGAACGTCCAACTCGCGGATCAGACATGCGTTGCCAGTACACACACCTACCCCGTCAGAATCAAGTATAACGAGCGATTCACACGCACAGCGGTAGCAGTGATCCCGAACCTAGCAGAACGAATGATATTAGGAATGGACTTCCTGTCAAAGCGAGGCATTGTTGTGACTTTGGACGGCCAGCCACTAAATCCCGACACGTCACCGAGGCCCAAACCCACATTGTGTTGCCTAACAGAACGGGCTCACTTAAATGAGGAACAAAATCAGGAATAAACCCACTTCTTGGACCACCACAAGACGCTGTTCTCCAAAATCGCCGGACCAAGTACAGCCGCCGAACACACCATTACACTTCGACACAACCAACCGCTGAAGCAGCGCTACTACCCGCGCAATCCCGCAATGCAGCAGGTAATAAACACCGAAGTGGACGAATTACTCACCGCTAGCCAGGTAGAACCCTCCAGGAGCGCATACAGCTCACCAATTGTACTAGTCAGAAAGAAACAAGGAACCTGGCGGATGTGCATTGATTATCGTCAACTCAATGCCGCTAGTGAACCCGACGCGTACCCACTGCCTCAAATCGGAGCCATTTTGGACCAGCTAAAAGAAGCAAAATACATGTCAACCATCGACCTAAAGAACGGCTATTGGCAGATACCGTTAGCCAAGAAGTCTCGGCCATATACCGCCTTCACCGTCCCCGGCCGAGGACTTTTTCAATGGAAGATAATGCCCTTCGGACTACACTCCGCCCCAGCCACCTTCCAGCGCGCCCTCGACTCTATACTCGGCCCGGAATTGCAATCAAAAGTGTTCGCCTATTTAGACGATATCATCGTGCTAGGCGAAACGTTCACCGAACATATGACCTACTTACGCGAAGTCTTTCATAGACTTCAGAACCACAAAATGCAAACCAACTTCGAGAAATGCAGTTTTGTACAACAAAAACTGCATTACTTGGGACACATCGTTAGCTCTGAAGGGATACACACCGACCCTGGAAAAGTAGCCGCGGTACGGGAAGTGACCGCGCCCCGAACCATCAAGGAGCTTCGCCGCTTCCTCGGACTTGCCTCCTGTTACCGCCGCTTCATCGCTAACTTCTCCACACTCGCGGTGCCCCTCAACCAGTTACTCAAAAAGAACCAAACTTGGACATGGGGCGAATCACAGAACAACGCATTCGAGGCACTCAAGGGAAAACTTACCTCCGCACCAATACTCTGCTGCCCAGACTTCAACTGACCATTTTTTCTACAAACCGACGCTAGCGGAGAAGGACTCGGCGTGGTCTTATTTCAGCGCCATTCGGATCAAGAGAAGATTGTGGCCTATGCCAAGTCTGTCCGACTTAGAAAAGCGTTACTCAGCTACGGAACAAGAATGTCTGGCTCTCCTGTGGGGAATTCGAAAAATGAGACCATACTTAGAGGGCTATCAGTTCACTGCTATCACCGACCACCACTCCTTCAAGTGGCTCCACTCGCTCTAAAACCCCTCCGGGCGTCTGGCCAGATGTGCACTTGAGCTACAACAATACAACTTCGAGATCGAGTACCGAAAGGGATCTTTAAACGTGGTGGCTGACGCACTATCACGGTGCCCGCTGCCAGCCCCCAGCACAGAAGAAGACCTACTGTTCGTTTGGTATAGCCAACGTACGAGTTGGTACGACAGGAAGACACACCAAGTTCAGACGCAACGCGAACAAAACCCCGACTACCAGTGGATCAACAGCCGACTATTTCAACATATAGCACCAACAAATCCACTCTCCCTGGCCCCGCAATGGAAGCTCTGCATCCCCGCTAACCAAAGGGAAAAGATCCTTAAAGAAGTCCACGACGCCGCCGCGGCAGGACACCTCGGGAAGGTGCACAAGAAAATTACTCCTTGCCAGGGATGTATCGAGATGTAAGCAACCATATGCGTGGGTACCTGTTGTGCGCAGCATACAAGGTGGAGCAATGACGCCCGGAAGGATTGATGGCTACGATGCAGTGCTCACGACCTTGGGAAATCGTCACCGCCGATTTCATCAGACCCCTCCCGCGCTCCAAACAGGGCAACACATGCCTCCTACATACATACGTACATACATATCCACATCCAGCCATACATACGCTACATGTTTATATGCATACATACAGATCTACATGCATACATACAACCATACATACATACACCCATACGTTAGAACAACCAAAGAGAAGCACGAAAAAGTGCAAAGCATTCGTACACGCCAATACTCCGCGAGAATTTGTTGCGCAAACATGCCGAAAATTGCGATCTTCATTCGCTTCTCAAATTGCTTATCTAACAACCGACTTAAGTTGATTAACGCCAACTCAGCCAGCACCAGCTTCCGTAGGTGGGCACGGAACGCATCGGGACGGCTTAGGCCGTGTAACCTCGAGCGCCCCTGGCTTGTCCTGCGGGAAAGGCTGAGAGGTTGAGGGGGCCTGTGAAAGGGGGAATACCCCCCCTCCCCCACCACGATTGAATACGTACCGTCTCACACCCATGGGTAAGCACGGGGCGCATCGGGACGGCTTAGGCCGTGTAACCTCGAGCGGCCCTGGCTCTGCACATGGGGAATACAGACTGACCAAGCTGCCGTAGGTAGGCACGGAGCGCATCGGGACGGATTAGGGCGTGTAACCTCGAGCGCCCCTGGCTCTGCCTGCGGGATAGGTTGGCGGTTTGTGGGAACATATTGACGACCAGCTTCCGTAGGTGACTTCCGTGACCGTTTCGGACCGCCAATATTAACTGCCGCCCTGGGCCAAGACTACAACGAGGAACCGCCACCGGTTGTTATTAAAGAGGACCGCTAGCCCAATCATCACCATCCAGGGCTGTCATCATTATCACCGCTTCTTAAGGCCGAGTGGCCACCTTCCTTATCATCGGGCCGCCACTAGCATCGCTGCCGCCCCAGGCCGAAAGCAACGCCAAGAGCCGCCACCCTTCAGGGCCGCTAGCAACATCATCACCATCCAGGGCCGTTGTCACCCTCGTCCTTCATTAGGGCCGGACTGCCGCCTTCCTCACCATTGGGCGGCCAATATCATTGCCGCCCCTAGGCCAAGCCGCTACCAAGGACCGCTACTTGCTGTCTGCCGCTAACATCATCGCCATCCAGGGCCGCTGTCACCGCCGTTACTCATCAGGGGCCCGTTGTTATAACTAGGGCCGCAAATACTGCTCTCCCTACGGGAGGTCGCTACCGCCCTCGCCACTAATTATGCCACCGTCCACATCACCGCAGGGCCGTCACTACTACAAGGGACTGCTACTGCCGTCACGATCGGCATCGCCGCCCTCATTGGCTGCAGTACCCGTGCTGTGGGCATTTACCACAAATAACCACCTGGGCTGGATTTCGTGCCGGGCGGAAAAATTTTTTCTGCCCAAACGACACATAACGCAGCTAGAAGACACAATTCGCCAGCGGAAACAGATGCACAGGGAAAAGGCCAAGGACTACATCCTCGCCCTCCAGACACTCATCCGACAACATCCGGTCATGTGCCACGAAAACCACCTAGAACGTATTTATGACGGCCTGCGAGTAGAATACCGACTCTTCGTTAAAAGAAGTGAATTCCAAACCATCGAGGAGCTCATGGAGCCCACCGATGTGTTTGAACTGCTCAAAAACGAAGAAGCCAGACAAAGTAGACAAGCGGCACACAGCCTTT